TTTTATTTTTTCTACCGTTTGATTTTTTTTTAACATTTGTATTCTTTCCTAAATTTTCAATCATTTGTAGTGTGCTGATGCTCAGATTTGTCAGGACGGAAAATGTGTTTGTCCAAACGGTAACACATTTTGTAGCCCTACCTGCGTTGACACTACATCTGACATACAAAACTGCGGATCTTGTGGTAACATTGTGTGTATTTGCTTTCTTCGATCTTATTTTTTGATAAATTATTCTATTTTTTTTAAAACTTTTCTTAATCATTTGCAGTGCCCAAGCGATAATGTCTGCGTAAACGGTGCATGTGTCGATTGCGCAGTTAATTCAGATTGTGTTAGCGATTGGTTGCTTAATCCTGAAACTGGCGAAGCTATTGGTGCCGCAGGCACATGCATTGACAATGTCTGCTATGTTTGCGCTGATGGATGTTTGTCTCAAAGTTATTGTTCTTCATTTGAAACCACAGGTGGCGGTGCTCCTGCACTCTGTAAGACGGATTCATCTTGTGGTACAAACTGCAAATGTTGCAGACCTAGAGATTTATAAATGTCAATGATTATCATATGTAATAATTCTAGAATTCAAATTAGAATATATTGAAAATTCTAGAATTTAATTTTTATTGGCTATAAGTTTTCTATTAATTATTATTTATATTGTATTATTATTATAAAATAAATATATCTTTAACGAAAGTGGATCCAGACTGATTCTTTGTTGATTAATAATTATATACTTTTATATTTTTAATGCAATTATTAGATTTCAAAAAAAAAAATCAAAAAAATTAAATCTTTATTTTACCAAAACCAATTTTAGATTACTTTAGAATAGGTATAAGTGGAGATGATGGCGAAACCAAATCATCAAGTTTCACCGATGGTGTACCACTGTGGCACCAAGATTCTCTAAGTTTTATCTAGTTTCACCAGGTATAAACATCTGTTAAACAAAATTAGATTTGGTAAAATCTCTGACTTGACAATAATAATCGCTTAATTACAGTATAATAACATATCATGGGATGTAAAATTATCGACGTTAGAATTTTATTTATAAATTTATATTTCATCCACATTATTATTATTTAAATCATCTATCAAATCTATAAGATCAATATTTTCTGAAATAATATCAAAATCATGTAAATATTATCATCGCCTTCATTAATCTCTTTATCAATATCATCCTCTCAATATTTTCGTTACCAATTTTAATATTAATTTCATTATTGTCATGAATTTTAAGATTTACATATAAATAAAGTTTTTTTAACGCGATCATTGTGTAAAAGATTACGAATTTTGTTATGAATAAATCCAAAAGTAGAAAAATTACGTTCAGCGGCAGCTGAGATAGCGAAATCTAATTTTATCAATTTCCTTTGGATTTAAAAAATACTTCTTCATACTAAAAATGCACAGAATGCATTCAGTATTATGAAAAATAAATATTCCTTATTTCTTTTTCCAGAAATTTTTGTACATTAGAATGCATAAAAATGAGCATTGCATTTATACACCGAAAAAGATAATATAAATATACAGAATTGTTGAAAATGACGTTTTATTATGCGTGAAACATTAAAAAACTATAAATCATTAAATTTTCAATTATTTTTACTTTAGATTTTTCTTAACGGTGGAATCCTTTATTGTTGAATATTCTTATTGGATTTCTTATAATAAATATAAAAGATCCTTTTTTCGTTGAATAAATAATATTAAAATAAAATTTACATATACAAAATGCCATTGGTATTCACGGAAGTCATTCAAGCCCTATTCTTTTTTCTGAAATTTGTAAAAATGAACATTGATATAGATATTCCTTATTTTCTGAATTGCTGAAAATGGGTTATATTGTCATTAAACAAATTTTATTCTAATTTGCTACAAGTTCTCGCTAAGAGCAATTCAATGATAGATTATTTATTATTTATGGAATTCTTTATCGTTGAAAGCAAATATGTTCATACTGGATTTCTTGTAACGAATATAAAAAGATGTTGGTTTGTTTGACAAATACTATTAAAATAAGATTTACACATAATGAAATGCCTTGCCTTTGACTGCACGGAATATTTTTTAAGCCCTATGAAAATAATTATTCTTATTTATTTTTTCTGAAATTGTACATTATATTTTCGTAAACATTTAACTTTTGCGGAATGAGAGAACATCAGTAAAAATAAAAGATTTTGTAAAATTTCGCAACAACAGAATTCCTAAATAACCTCGCCAGAGGATCTAGAGAATATCGTAAAGATAGCAAAAGTTCTGTTACTAATTTCCCTTATTAAAAGATCCTGAAATAGAAAAACGATGATGAAACCCTTAACTTCGCAAGATACCTAATCAAAATTTAGAATTCTCTTCAGACAAATTCAGAAGTAACTACTGTATTCGTTTCCAAGAACCAGGAGCCAAGAAACATAAAGTTTGAAATAGAAATTTTTAGCACTAGTCGAAATGAGGCCTTTCGGCAATCACAAAATTCGGCCAACTTTCGACTAAATTCGGCTATCAATAAAATTCAGCCAAATTCGGAAATTCCAAATTTTGGCCGAAACTTAAAAATCATCTTAAATTCAGCTTTAAGTTTCGACCAAAATTCAGGATTTTTTGAATTAGTGCTGTCCATTTCAGAAATATAATACTTCGGCAACAATTCGGTATATCAAGATTTTTTGGCCTTAATTCAGTCGAAATTCAGAATTTGTGCTGAAATTTGATATAATATTTCGATATCCCTCAGCTGTCAATAAATTTCTGAATTTCTGAACTTTGGCTGAATTTATAAACAGCCGAATTTAGGTCAAAAATATTATATAATATTATAAATTCAGACAAAATTCGAAAATCCCTGAAATTTAATATAATATTTCGATATCCCTCAGCTGTCAATAAATTTCGGCCAAAAATTCAGAATTTCTGATTTTGGCTGAATTTTTTGCCGAAATATAATGTAATATTTTTTAGCCAGAATTTAAAAATCAGCTTAAATTTGGCTTTAAGTTTAAACCAAAATATGATATTTTAGCAATATTTATTAACAATTTTGCAGAAATTTGAAAATTTTCAGATTATTAATGAAATTCAGCAAAAATTCAGAAGCACTGGATGTTTGCTGAAAGTTAAAATCAGCTATATATTTTTTAAATTCAACTATTTTCTACTATTTTAAGCAGAATTTGTGCTGAAATTTATTATAAATAAAATTTATCCTAAATTCAGAATACTGAATTTTAGATGAAATATGTTATTATTTTAGCAGTATTATTTTCATCTATTTTCAGAAATGTATTGTCAAAAATTAGCAAAAATATGTAGAATATTAATAATCTTAAATATTTGAAGGATGCCATTTGGATATTTAGCATTTAGTCCATTTGATCTGATTTATTATGTATTTATAAATTAAATATTATATTCCATTTTATTATAAAATTCATTATAAAAATCAAAATTATTTTTAACATATTTTCAAAATATTTTGAATATAAAAAATCAACAAATTTTTTAAAAAATCACTTTTAAAGTTTAAAAGAAAAACTTAAATTATACTTTTATATATTTTTATACTTTTATTTTTTTTTGTATTTTTAAAAACACTTTTATTTTCTTGTTTTCTTTTTTTTTTTCTAAATTTATTTTTTTTTTGTTTTCTTCTTTCTCTATATTTTTTCTTTATATTTTTCTTTTTCTTTTTCTTTGCATATTTTATTCTATAAATTCTTATCTTTTTTTATTTTTTTTTCTATCTCTTATATTATTATATTTTAAGAAAGAAAATTCAATAAATATATCTTCTTCCATCTATTCTATATATATTAAATCAAAATTAACCAAAACTTCAAGAAAAGATATCAATATTACTATTGCTATTCAATCAATATGATTTTTGAAAGAAATTAGTAATATTATATTGATATTTTAATTATTTTTTAATTTAACTTAATTAAACTATATTTTAACAACATTTCAACAATATTTTAACAATATTTCAACAAATATATTTATATTATTTGAAAACTTTATCTATATATTAAAATATTAATAACTATCACCAGTCAAATACAAAAGAATTGCTGTACCGAATGGTAATTTCTATACTATAGATTAGCTAAAAATCAGTAACAATTGACTATCTTATTGCATCCTATATTACAAATCAGTTAAAATCAGAATTCCTTTTCAGTATGACAATTCTTTGTATTTGATCTATACAAAAAAATTAATTTTGTCATATAAATAATTCTTTTTTCCTTGTAACTAATTATTATTTATATAATAGATATTGAATTTTGAGTTTGAATAAATATTATATTATATAATTAAAAATAAACAAAAAAATCTAGTATTTAATCTATAAAGTTAAACTATGTATTTTGACTATTCAATACAATAAAAATTGTATCTTTTTACTTTAATATTTATAAAATTTCATATAATCAATTGTAAAAATTTTACTAAGTAGACTTATTAACAATAAAAATGTGTATCAACTGTAAAAATATTAGATCTAGTTATATAAAATTAAGAGAATTATAAGTGATCAAATTTTAAATAGTTTTACAAATTAAAACATCTATAATTCTTTTGATTTTAATTATATAGAGTTAATATTTTTATAGTCAATATATATTTATATTATTTATAAGATTACTTAGTAGTATACTAATAATTTAATTATAAAATTAAAAACTTTTATATGTAAAAATTTTATATTACCAACCTATCGGGTATCCAAAAGGTATCCAAAAGGTATCCAAAATTTGGTTTTTCAACTTGTATATATAGTATATAGTATAATTAACATAATTAAAATTATTATATATTTAATTGTAATATTTATTATTATAGTATTATATTATTATTATATTATATTATATTATTATATTATATAATTAAAATTAAAATAAATTATTTTTATTTTATTGAAATTTTTATTTTATTTAAAATAAAATTAAAAATATCATTTTATCCAAAATAAGATTAAAAATATCATTTTATTTAAAATAAGATTAAAAATATTATTTTATTTTAAATAACAATAATAATCTTTAGTTATATTTAATAAAAATAAAAATTAATCATTAATAAAATGACTAATTTATTATTTAAAAATAGTCAATTTATTAATTATAACTCTTTTAAAAAAAAACTCTTTTCAGTTATCAATTTTTTTAAAAAATACATAGTAAAATTAAATTCAAAATGTTTTATTTTGATTATTTTCATTAATAAAGTAAGCTCTAATATGAGCACAAGTAATAATAAACTGAAAAGGACAGTTATTAAACACTCCTCTTCTAAAAAAACAACACCTAAAACTAACAAGTTCAGATTTAATCCTGTTGATAATAAAAATAAAAAAAATATTAAAGAAGTGAAAAACATAGGGATAAATATAATAATAGTCAAAAAAAATTTTATAAAAAGTTCTAATTCTACTAGTAGCAATATTCAACTATAAATTATTATTATCAATGAGAAAAGTTTATCTGTTTAAGAATTCAACCTTATATTTATAGAAAAAAAAATACTACATTAGAAAATTTTAAAAGGTAAAAATCTTCAGAAATTTTTTAACTTAATTATCTTCTAAAAGTTTTACAGATTTCTGAAATTTTCTGGAAAAAAATTTACAATATTTTGAAAATTTTTACAGTTTTTTGAAATTTTTTGTAATAAAAATTTACAAATATTTCAGAAATTTTACAAAAAATTTGTAATATTCTTGATATATTTTCAATTTTTTCAAAAAATTAAAGCCTCTTTATTACAATATGAACAATTTTATCAACAATACAAAGTTGTTAATATAAAGGAACTTCAATTAATTCTTGATATAAAAACCAAGTGAAATTTCACATATAATATAATTGAGAGAATAATATTTCTTCGTAAGGTAAAAAGAATTTATATTAATTACTGAATATTGATTTTTATTATATCTAAATATATTTTTTTATTAGCCACTTCATAATATGGCATCTGTTGATAATAACCTTTTTATATATTTGCTAAATGAAGAAGAATGGAACAAGTTAAACAATATAAAAGATTTATTAAAAGTATAATTAATATTAAAAATAATAATTTTGATAAATATATTAATTATAATCTATAATGTTAAAAATAAATATTTTTTAATAAAAATATATTAATTATAATTTATTATAGTGTTTTAAAGATATTACCTTAGAAATGAGTATATCAAAATTTTCTATTCTAGATCAAACTATTCTAGTTTACAATTTTCTATTTGATAATATTGAAGAATTTCAACAAAATAATAAACTTTCAACTGATATAAATGATGTTACAAATCTTTCAACACAAAAACTTGAAGATTATTATTTAACTTCTGATAGTTTAATATATATTATTACAACAAGTATAATATTTACTTATATTTCATATTTATTTAAATTTTAATAATTAATACTTTTGTTTTATATTTTAATAGTTTTAGATCCTCATTTGAAATTGATTTATTTTAAAGAAAATAATTTTGATCCTAAATATATTAAAACATATAAATAACAAATTACTGATCTATAGAAAATTAAATATAAACCTGATAAAAATCAAAAATCAAATATATTGACATTAAAACAAATAGCATTAACTAATTATATTTTCAAAAAGTAAAAAGTAATACATAAAGATAAATTGAAATCTTATTTAAAAGAATCTACATTTAATTTTGAAATAGATGCATTATTATATTGAAAGATATAATATTAAATATAAAAATTTATGTTAAATATTAAATATTGATATATATATAATTTATGTTTTATAATAAAACTCTTTTCCATTTATCAATTTTTGAGCAAAAAAAACCACAGTAAAATTTTAAACGAAATAGTTTGAGTTTTATTTTAACTTGAGTAATAATTAATCGTGTTATATTTAACATGGACGATAAACCTTTTGAAAGACCTAGAAGAACTGATACTAACTACACCAGAACTCTCAATGTTAATCTGTTATCAAATAAAAACAAATTTAAATTCAATCCTATTGACAAGAAAAAAAAATTTTAAATAAAAAACTTGACGCAGAAAATATAACGGTAAATGTAAAACAAACAGTAGAAATATTGAAAAGTAAACTAATTCCTAAAGTTACAATTTTATTAAAAGATAATAATAATAATTCGAACAAAGACCAAACTACTGAAGGAATAACAAATGTGAAAGAAAATAGAGAAAACGAAGAATTAAATGAAAATCAAAAAAATAATGATACAACTGGTTGAACGAAAATAATAAAGAATAAAAATAAAAGAAAAGGTAAAGAAAAAGAATTACCTAATGAAGACAATACAAATGAATAAGAAGAAATAGAATCAATCGCATCCTTTGAAACTGAAAATAATTATCAAACTGGATGGCGCAACTTATTAGGTACAAAAAAATATAAACTTTGGACCATAACTGATAAAATTTTGGAAAAAAACCTAAATGAAAAATTGAAAAATGTTAGTTTAATCCTGAAAAGATAGTCTGTAGTAATCAAAATACAAACAGAATTATTCAACAATAAAAAAATGATTATAGCATATTACAACAATGAAGAAGAAATAAAAAAAGAAAAAATATGCGATATAGGTGAATATGCAAATAAGCTAACTTACATATATGTATAGGGCTGAAATTTTTAAATGCAATCCAGACAAAAAAATGTAACACAGTGTTAAACTGTGAGACGTACTTTTAGAATTTAGAAATAAAGATATTAAACAAGAATTAGAATTGAAGTTTGGTGAAATCATAAAAATTTCTTTAAGAATAAATAATATGTGACAGTTAGCTGTCATTATTTTCAAAGAAAAAAGTAGCGTACAAAAATTACTTGCTAATTGGAACATTATTATTGGAGAAGATTCTCTTAGAGTAACAACATTTAGATCAAATAATTGATAATCTTAAATCACGTGGTCAATATGTAACAAGGGTAATCAGTTTGTCCAATGGTATTATAGCAAGAGAATTATGACCACACATCAAAAAACTGGAAGCAAAAACTTGTTATTTTTCAAGAACAAGAAACTACAGGAAGAAAGGTGAAGCTATTATCTCTTTTCAAGAGGAAGAAGCTTGTAAGAATGCTTATAATGCAGTATGGAAAGGTAGAGATCTCAATATTAGAATTGTAAATATTCAAACAAAAATATATCATCGTTATCACGAAATGGATCATTTTGTCACTGACTGCTCCTATAGAACTCAGGATCACAAATACAAAAATAAAACAGTAGAGAGAATAGAAAAATTTGATGCAATATATAAATGATACAATCTAAAATATTTTAAAAATATTAATAAATTGGTTGGAGGACAAACGTACGCAGATGTAATAAAAAGAAATAATACAAGAAAAGTGAACTTAGATATCACAAGTGATCAAAGATTAGAAAGAATTGAACAAGTTCTGAATGAACTTTGTGAACGTTTAGAAATTTTAGAACATCATGTGATGAATATAACAGAAGAACAGATTTAAGATTGGACCTCAAAACAGGAGAGAACGAAAACATGATAAATGAAAAATTTACAAGAAATAATAATAACACCAATAATAATGATAAATTAAAATCAAGCAAAAAATATGAAACAAATAACAAGTTAGATACAATTATTCTTACAATGTAACAAATGACAAATAGAATTAAAACAATTGAAACAAGAGTAGGATCGACATTAATTTTCTCTGGACCAAAAATTTCTAAAAGCAATATTGGTATATATAACCAATAATATTTCTTAATTTTAAATTTTAATAAACTATTATAATAGAATCAAACAATAATAATAATAATATCAATAATAAAAAATATAATAATCAACATAATAAAACAAATAATCTTTATAATAGTTTAAAGGGAGATAATGATAATAATAATATCAATAATCAGAATAACTATATAGGTAATAAAATAATAAGCACAGCCACACACAATGTAAGGGTTTTGGAGATTACACTAAACGCGAACTTTTATATAATTATATTAAAAATAGTTAGATAGATATTATAAATATCGCAGAAACAAATTGTAAAGAAAATAATGAAAAGTGATTTATAGATGAAAGAAAAAAATATAGAATATATTGGTCTATTGATGGTATAGGTATGGAAGTAGTAATAATAATCTCAAAAGATATAAATAAATACATATATAATATCCAAAAGTTCAAAGGGAGAACAATACGTATGGATATAGTACTACCAAAGAAAATTACAATACAAATAATACAAATATACCTATTAAGTAAAAAATGTGAAAAATCAAAAATTGGATTATACAGATATAACTAAAGAACTACAAGTTGATTGTAATGGGAAACTTCAATGCAGTCCCTTCATCAAATATAGATAGAAATAATAATAGCCAATCACAAATACCAGAGAGTGAAATCTTCCTATTTTTGACCAGTAGAGAACTTATTGATTGTTACAGAACAATGCATCCTGAATCTAATGGTTTTATATGACAAAGGGATAATTCAACAGCTGAAAGCCACATTGATGCAATATGGATGTCAGAAAAATGGGAAGGAAAAATGGAATCATGTTATGTTGATAATTTAAATTTAATAACAAAAAGTGATCATAAGCTGGTAAGCCTCAAAGTTAGGAGAAATTGATAAATTTGTAAGAAAAAAATTGACATTATAAATAATGGTCCTAGATATAATGTTAAAATAATATGCGAAGAAAAATGGTTAAAATTTGCAGAATACATAGAGGAAAAAATCAATATATCAACAATAGAAAAAAGGAAAAGGAAATATGGGGTGTCAATAAATTTTATAAAAAAAATATAGAAAACTCTTAAAAATATTATAATTGAAGATACTGACCATGTAATATCAAAAAAATGAAAAAAGAAGCATAATAAAAAAATAAATAGAAATGTTACTGAAAATATGAAAAAAGTAAAAATATATCATTTTATCAAAAAAAAAAGAGCTAAATTTTTATCATATATAAAAAATCACATGATTTTCAAGAGAGAAATACATAAACTGTCCATACTTAATTTTGAAACTAAAAAAATTATAAAAGAACAAAATATGTGTAAAGACTTAATCGAAACTCTAAGAAATACAAGTCTTGATTTTCAAAATGCTGCAAGGGCAGAAAAAAGAAAAGAAACATTAAAACAAATACAAGAAGCTGTTGAATGATGATGGAAAAATCTCAAAGAAAATTCAAAAAGAATGATTAATAGTATTCTAAACAGACAACATAAATCGATTGTTATAAACTGTATAATTAACGAAAATGAGGAGGGAAATATTGAAATTAGTACAGATAGTACAGAAATTAAAGAAATAGCAAAAAATCACTTTTGTAACTGAACTAGAAAACGCAATACGAATGAAAATCTCATGAAAAAATAGAAGACAATATATAATCCCAAAGATAAGATTGAGGAAAAATGGTATTTTCTACTGTTAAGGGAAGTAAATACAGAAGAATTGATATAAACTATCAATACACTTCCAAATAACAAAGCACTAGGACAATCTAATTTACAATACGAGTAGTTTAAACTATACCTGTCACCCAAATTCAAAATCCAAATGCCGAAATCCCAAATGCCGAAATCCCAAATCCCAAATCCCAAATTA